TGAGTTGAGTTTTGATGGAAAATTTTTTTCTCAGGTGGTGTTTATGGTTTCATGGGAATCGAAGGGGAGAGGATGTTCGCCACGAGGGAGTTGCGGAAGGTTTGAACGTCGATTTTTGTTTTATTGTTGTCCGCCCATTTGCACACATTCTCATACATATCAATCGAGTATACAGGGTGCGGCAGAGATAGCCGACCTGCGGAGTTAGCCGACCGACAGCACACGGGGGCTGGAGAGATGGGTTCGGCGGCGGAAGCGACCAGCCGACTGAAAATGGGCGAGCCATATAAACTGCAACTCGGGCTTTGGTAACCTGGCGAGGTCGACGGTGGAGATCTGCGCGTGGAAGGTTCTTGGATCCGGAGGCGGAGATACAACGGACGCAATATTCTCCTACAAAGTGTCTCTGAAGATGTCTAAGAGAGGGGAGAGTATGTTTTCGCACAAGTTACCTTTGCTCTTCTCGCTAGGAATGTCTCTAAAGAACTTTTTCTCGGGTGGCTTATTTCTTCCCTGTTTTGAAACGCTCAGCCGGAGGCAAGTAGCCGGCTGGAGATCGATTGCCAGTCGGTGGGTGCCTTTTTGAAGTACTCCAAGAAGCCCTTTTGCTAATCAACCCTTTCAAGTTTATCATAATGATGATTGCAGAGACAGGACGTCGTTCTCCATCCAGATCTTTCTAAAACCCGCGGTCAAACACTTGCGCAAACTACCCTCAGATGATTCAAACCCAGAAAAAAGGTCACGATCTCTGTTTCATATTTGGAGTTCCCCACAAATTTTCTCAGATCCTTGCCATCAATCATTAGTATGATTGGATCCCTCTTAAGCCTCCATGTAACACCCAACCGAATGTGCTATAGCACTATATCGAACTCAAAACTCCTCATTTTCTTTGCTTTCCGCTCACGAATTCACTCAAACCTCGGTGTAGATGTGATCAGGCTTAGAGGACAACTAACGGTAGGCAGGCGGAAGGTAAAGCCGATGTCGGTGGCAATGGACTGGAGCTCTGGCGTCAAAAGCTTACTGTCTTGATCTCGATCGAACTCCTGGAACTTGTTCTCTACGAATCTGCTAAAGGCTTCCCCGTCTCCGACCAGCTTCTCTATCTCGGCACTGCAATAACCCTTCAATAATCCCCCTATAACCCCATAATAACCTCTGTGGTTTCGCTCCAATTACCCCTGCAATAAACTCTCAATAACCCCAGATAACCCCCCAATAACCTCCACGGTTCCACTTCAAGAACTTCCTATAATAACCTACTAATAATCTCTGTGGTTCTAGTTCAATAATCCCCTTCATTAACCCCCACAATAACCCTTTAATAACTTCCCAATAAACTCCGCGATGTAGCACACGTGGCGGCATATTACTGGAGTCAGCACGCAAGACTACGTCCGGAGTCTGTAAAGAAAATATTTTTGGGGGGGGGGGGGGGGGGGGGGGGGTGAACTTGTTG